CAGCTATGTGAGCAGCAGATATGGATGTTATACCAATTTTTCCTTTTTCATTTAAAAAACTGAGGCAATGACAGAGCTGGGATAAATCAAGGTTTCTGAATGTTTCACATTTTTGCCTGTTTCTATCCACAATTTAACCCCTTTCTGCTGAAAAATATTTTTACCAAACTGAAGCAGAAGTCATCTTTAAATCAGATTTGATTTATGGTTCAAACTTGAGATTACTAATATTTTACCGGATTTCATAATCTTATTACCAAACAATGTAATAGCATTTAACAACTATTTGGTAATTAGAAATTACATGTGAAGGTGATAATAAATAGTGTAAAAATTTAAAATTGGTTTCTTATGATGTCAAAAATGGCCTACCTTGGAAGATATAGCTTGTGCTATATGGAAGAATAAATTATATTTAAATATGCGTATTGGAGCATTCAGTCTAGCAGGTACAAATAGCTGAATTAGCCAGATTCCATACTGATATAGAATAGTTGAATCTATCTTCACAAATAACAGAAATCTGACTGCTGACTGGTTTTTCAGAACTGCCACCTAAAGGATATATTTCTAGAGTGTCAACACAATATGTGAAAAGAAAGGGCTTCTACTTTCACTTTCAGTAGTTCCTTTCACACCCAAGAAATCTCCTTTCTTTTAGTTTGGCCTGAACTTACCAATTTGCTACAGAATATGGTAAACAATATGGACCGTCACTTCCAAGAATAGGTGAAAAAGACTATGGCTTCCATCTTGGATACTCTCTCGTTTGTCCTTGTGTCTTTTGTTCTAGGCAGAAACAAGTTGCTGTGTTGTGAGGCAGACCCATGTGATGGACAAATGAGTGAGCTTGGCTGCAGGTTTTGTGGCCTGCCAACATCCACTCGTGCACATGAGAAGAGCATCCTTCCCCAACCCAGTTTTATAATGAGGAGATGGCCCCAGGCAGCAGCTTGACTGTAATTTCATAAAAGATCCTGAACCAGAGGTACCAGCCTAAGCTGTACATAGAGCCCTGGTCCACAAAACCTGGGAGATAATAGATGTTTGTTATGCTGCAATATATAACCAATACACTATGTTTAAAACTCATTAACTAATCTTAGCTTCTTAAACTGTCACCTCCTTATTTTAAAGCTATAATGTTCAAATGTTTTCTTAGTAAAGGCAACATGAATTGGATAAGGCATTTGAAATTTGTTTATGTTACATATTATTTGCATTTTATGGGGAAATTTTGTTTCAAAATGAGTGGAAAAGTCTTATATTTGTTAGAGTATATTTGATTCCTAAATTTCAGGCATCTTTAAATCTAGGGAGCTAAGGATGAAAAATTCACATGTATAAATGATAAAATGATGAAATTAAATCTATTTAGCTAAAATGACAATTCTAATATACCAGATCACCTTTAGATATCTCTGTCTAAACTTAATTTTGTGTAGCTATTTATGGCATATAGTTGAGTATGTTTCCTATCCAGGACAGGATTTTTCAGGCCCTCCCTTATAACTTACTTCATTGGATCAGTGCTTGTTATTTCTAAAGATAAAAAAGTAAAACAGAAATATGTTTCTAAGTAAGTTATACTAAGGGCTTGTGGAGGCGACTTTGCCTTCAAGTTCCCCTGTCTGCCACGGATGAAAGTAAACGCTACCAAGACATGATCTGCTTGGGGAGGAGAGGTGGCCTGTTTCTCAGAGGAAAAAGCTCAGGAGCCCCTTCCTCCAGGCATTTTTATTGGGTTGTAATACACAGGAATACGGGCACTAAAGATCAAACAGTAGATAATATCTCAAAGAAATCTGAGAGCTTAGTCTGAGTCAGTGTCTGTCAGGAAAGGGGCTTGCAGAAACTTTGGGAGACATACTCATTTCCTGCTCGGACCCTTATCATATGAATGAAAGTACTCTTAGCAAAGCAGGCTTCACAGGACTTTAGGAACTCTTTCTTATGCCAGATTTACCTCGGATACCGCTCTAGCAAGGCAAGGAGCTGCACCACCTTCCCATCACAGGTTTTCAGGCTTAAGTGGATTAGAGCCAGGAAGCACTTCTCCCAGAGGACATGGGGACTAGGGCTATGTCACATAGCTGAGGGGAGGGTCCATCACTCCCTCTTTGTTGCAGCCCCCCGAGTCCTTCCATGATGGTCTCCCAAGTGGTTGTGTCTGGTATAGGTTGCCCCTCTCTGGGAAAAGTCTTACCCGTCCTTGACCATTGACCATGCTTTGGAGGCAGGGGAGTAAGCTGAGGCAGCATTTGCTACCAGAAACAAACTTTGTCTCCTGTGGCTTGCATTCCGGAGGTTGCTCACTCATCCTTAGCCATGGGGGGTAGTTACAATTCCTGAAACCAGGCAGAGCAGTCCCCAACAAGGGCTTAGGCTACAGATAAATGATTATTTTAAAATCAAACATTCATAGCATTTTTGGGTATATTTCAATATACTGGAAGTCAACAAATTATTATAGTTTCTGCAAGTTATCTAATTTTGGATGCAGTTCTTAAATAGGGTGTCAACTTATCTTTATGAAAACTACACTTGAATTTTAAACTTCTACAGATGAAACAAACAGGTATTTGTTTGTGAGAAGGATACTGTGACATGCACATATACTTGCCATCCCTCTACTTAGAGAGGAAATCCAAGCCTTAGGTCATAGCGATGGCTGGGCTGGATCCCACAGCCACATCCCTGCTCTCAGATCCTTGCTCTGGCTTTCCAGTGGCTGCCAGTACTTAACTTCCAGTTAAGTCCCTACTTTTAAAAGTGAAGCAGATGCTTTTTTGCTTTGAAATATGGAAGTCAAAATACAATCCAAAGAATTTAGACAAAACCTATGGAGAATATAGGCATTTTGGAATAAAGAATAGACAAAGGCAATGTGCTCCGCTTTCTGGTTGAAGTCCTCCCTGGTCTATCAGTTATGTAGGCCAGCCTGGTAGCCAGTATTCCAGCAGCTGTCCACGGCGGTCTGAAAAGTGGCTCAGCCTTTGCTACTGCTTGTTATGAAGTGACATTAGCTATATGGTATACATTAAGAACTCTCTAATTTTCTTTGCTTTCCTTTTTTTTTGTACTGTGTTCTGTGTATTGCTAAAAATTTTGTTCCTGCAATCCAATACAACCATGGGCTTTTGGTTTGCAACAAAGCCCAGAAATGTCAGACTTAATGAGAGAGGAAAGGGTCATGCAGAGTGTGAACATTTGCACTCCTTTGGAAAAGCATCTTCCTAAGTAGGGTAATCTGAATCTGAAACGAATTCATGTTCTTTCTCTCTGCTAGTGCACTGAATAAGCTGTGGAAAGGTCAGTGGAAGCTGTCTTAAAGAAACGGCACAAATGGTGACTACATTTCTTGATATAATGTGAAATACAATGTATTAGTCACAATGTTCTGTATGTAATCATTGCTTTCCTACAGAGCATTAGCATCCTTCTCCTCTTTCAGCTCACTGATGTGAAAGAACAGTGAGGTGCTCAAAGCCAAGAACAAGGGACAGGTTGTATGACGGCACTTTGGCCCTTACTGCTTCAACAGCATTGTCTAAAATCCATCATAGTTTCTCATTCTATTAAGATACAAACTTGAATTATGTGTGCTGCCTGTTAGATATAAGAAATGAGTCACCTAGCTTTTGTGGGAGCCTTGCCTAATTTTAATGTATGCAGTTCAAGAAGTTTCATCAGGCCTTACTAGAAATCAGTATAACTTGGAAGTGCTTTGTATTTGATAATTTGGAAAAGCACAAAGCTCTTCAGAATTATAGGGATATCAGGGACTGACAGACAAGTGGAGTTCAGGCTGCTGGGGCTCTTCTGAGATCAGCAGAACCATGATCCAGGACTGGGTGTCTAATTTATGTAAGGTTCTAGGGAGAAATTAGGCCTTTATGATTGGCTTAGAACATTCTTTCCAACTGGAAAACTGCACATAAACTGAGCAAAAACAAGGCTATTATCTTGACTAAAAGTCCATACAAAGTAAGATTTCATAACTCTGGGTACCCTATTATTTGAGTATTGCTCTCCAGAGGGAATAAAGTAGCTGGAGAGTGTCTGGTAGTCCCAGGCTTAAGTTTATAGAAAATGCAAAATGTTATGCTCTTGTTTTGTTTCTTAGGGTCTACTTAAACAAGCACGTTCCCTAGTACCAACCTGGTCCTTGAAACTCATGGCACCTCCCATTTTCTGCAGATATTCAATGGAAACAGTTTTCCTCTCCAGAAATTTCCAAAACATATTCTAGAAGTTAACTTTTGGTAGTTTCCTTGGAAGTAGCAACAGTGGCAATATACAGAAACTACACCATAATGGTTAAAGAGGCAGTGTTTTCAGCAGATGTTTGTAAATCAAAGACAAGCAGAAGACCATTTGGGGAATATTGTCGTTGCCCTGTTTGTTATGATCCTCGATAGACACTTACAGTCTATACTTTACTTTGTATTTTATATTTATAGAAGGCAAATATAGTAACAAATTAATAACAAAGAAGAGAAAGAAAAGAATTGCGCTTAGCAGTGACAATAAGATGTTGAAGAATATGTATGATAATGGCAGATCACAAGTAGACAAAATAAATCTCTGTATCTTGGCCGACAGTTGTTAATAGTAAAATCACAATCTTGCTATTAAAAGGGCAGATTATTAAAAAAATGCTTGTCAATTTACTTCACTCAGGTTTGTTGGCTAAGAATTTTATTTTATGTGAATATTGATAGTGAATTATTACCTCACACCATTTTTTCTCTGCCAAACCCTAATAACTTTCCCTAGGATCAGAAAAATGCCCATATTAAAGCAAAAATTAAGATAACCACAAAGTCTCTCTCTCTCTCTCTCTAGGAAGATAAGCTGAACAGAATTATTACTGAATGGTCTTTGGTGATGTCTTAAATGGTTTTCTAACTCAGCAGGTCTTCAGAGGTTCAAGGGAACTTTATGCGAGATGTGGCCTTCCCGGAAAGCACAACGTATTTCTGTTTGCTTCATCACAGTGCAAAACCTCTCCTAATCTGTGCCTGGTACTGTAAGAGACATGCTTCTTGGAATTTGGGACACCAAAAGCAGAGGGCGAGCTTGGTTCTGTTATTTCCCATTAATGACCCTTTGGGCGGTGCATCTGCTCAGTCCCTGTGGATCTGAGTCTTCTGTGACAACTCCGTGATGGTAAGTACGCACAGCATCAGTCAGGAGCAGAAGCATAAATCAAATTGTCATGAGTACAATTCAGAATTGTAAATCAATTTGACAAAAGTGGAATTTAAAAATGTATAAGCCATCCAAGATTGACTGTGATCTTTTGGAGCTGTTTAAGTAGAAAGATTTGGGGAAGACTTTTAGAAAAGGTTGAGACATATGCCAAAAACTCACCTTGGTCTCTAGAAAACTTAACCATTAAAATAATTCTTCTATAGCACTTTTCTTTTAAAAAATTGCTCATGGCAGCAATTATAGTAACTTATTCTTACACTTGCCCGCAGGTACATATTCAGTATATTAGGTACCTTCAGTGAAAAATGTTATTGTTCACCTTATTTAAAAAATTTTTGTTCATCTTACAATGTATCCTTAATTTGTAAATGTCTTATTTTCTGTTATATTTCTAGCATCTCATATAATTATTGTCCAAGCAGAAAGATAACCTTTCCAATTTAAGTTTTTAATATTTCAAGTCTTTTCACACCCCCGAATAAACCACTTGGTGCCTGCAGAATCTCTCCGATGATGGGAGCCATGCTCTTGCATTAGGGGATGGAACTGTAGACTGCAATTACAATACAGTCCTGAGGACATGCTTTTCCTATAAATAATTAAATGGTGTGTTAATATTGTTTTTTTAGCTCTTTAATTCATTTCCTAGAAGCCTATGGTATATCTGGGCTTAGTAGAATTTGGTCTCTGATATGTGCTCACTCATTACTTGGAGGATTACTGTGATACATGACTGCGCTCGGTAATTCAGTCTCACTGGTTCTAACCTGGGAAATCTAGTTTTTCTCACGTGTTGTAAATGTATATACAGAGCACAGCAGCAATATTCTGTGCAAAATTTCCTGTTCTTCAACATTGTAGAAGATATAGAAATGGTGAAAAGATGAGTTCTGGAGAAAATTTTCAAGCAGGTGAGGTCATGTCGTGCTGGCTGCTGTTTTGATTTCACTGGTAAATTTACTTTCCAGGGTCTGTGTATGTCCTGTCTGAATGAAGATGACCATGCCAATCTCCATTTCTCCTCCTCTTTCCTCGCTTCCTTCCTCCCTCCCCTCTCCCTCCCTTTCCCCCTCCCTCCCTCTCACCCTCCCTCTCTCTATCTTTCTGACTGTCTTTCCTGAAAGCCATGCCGGTGAACTATGTAACAGTAGAACGAAAAGTGAAGCAAATGTTAGGAGGTTCATGCCTATAGTGGCCATGAAACTTTGGATAAGGATTTACCTCTTTTCAACTCCTTTTCTCATGTAAGATGGCAGTTGGAACTCTGAGTCTCTGAATTTAGTCTGAGAACGACAAAGCACTGTCTCTCTCCCCTGGCATCATAGTCATCTCCAGAATTTTCTTTTATTGTCATCTCCATTCCTTACCTTAGCTCCCTGAGCCCACCGGTCTGACACTGTAGCAGACACTGTCTGTGCCCCATCCACATCCCCTCAGCCCTGAAGTCATCTGCATAAAATACACCTACGAGTTCCCCAGGTCTGTGCTTGAGGGATTCTCTGGTCCTGGGAATGTGCTCTACCCAAAGATGGGCCGAGCCAGCAGTGCTGGGGAGTTCGCTCCCCTGTGGCAATCCCTAAGCAGTGAAGGATGGGCGTTGGTGCATATAGCCCACCCAGCTTCTTTGCCCCACTGGAGGTGATACTGGGGGAATATTCTAAACCGTCCCTAGTAGGAATAAGTACCAGTTACCCACAGAGCAACGTGACTTTTATATGCTATCTTACTTGCCCTGTCTTACACCCCCATTCCCTCGCTGTGTTTTCTGCAACAACTTTCAAAACAAACTCTTTGCTCCCAAATCTTTATCTAAGGCTCTGTGTTGGGGATAATACTTGTTTTGTCTGAGACATGTTCCTCCCTGCTCCTGGGACAGCAATGCTGATTTGCATATTCAGTCATCACATTGTCATGTGTGGGTCAACAACCTTTCTTTTTCCCTAAGTTTGTTAGCATTGAGTTTATGTTCTTTACAGTCAGTATCTGTTCAAGAGACAGTGAGTACTGAGGCCCGTGCTCTTCTGCCTGGAATTCCCTGCCCTTCTGCCTTTCTCCATGTGCCTGCTCCTCTCCTTCCCACTAACTAAACAACACAGTTTACTTAACTAACACTCGCTCATTCTTCTGGCCTCCTCTTAAACATCCCTTCCATAGGGAAGTCTTCCCACACACTTCAAAGGAGATGGCTGCTCCCCATCCCCACTGGTTCCGATTGCATCCCCTAATTACAGCATTAATTACCTTTGTAACTACTTAGGGGATGTTTCTTTTCCTAATGGCATTATCAGCTGTGCGTTGCTTTTGTTCGCCCCTGTAATTTCAGGGTCAAGCACATTCCCCAGCCTCTAACAGACAGTAAATATATATTTATTAAAGAGTAAATAACTGGGCCTCAGGAATCACTTAATGTAAACTTCCATTTTGCAGATGAGAAGATCAGGGCCCCAAAGATAAAATAATTAAGACAGAGAGTGGAACTAGGATTCAGAAACCCTAACTCCCAGTCCAGGGATTAAACTATCCTACAGTCTCCCTCCCTGACAACCATCATGTGCGGTGACCCCGCCGACAAGAGTGCCATGGCCCCGTGCTCAGAAGATGCCTTCTAACTGGTGTTTAATGCTCTGTGGTAGGTATCCTGAAATTCTGAATAGTGGCACCTTTGAAATTGTGTTTTACAAGCTTTGTGAGATGAGGGAGCAAAACCAGGGGCTGGGAGCCCTGGCTCACAGCATTCCTCCTCCCCGAGTGGTTATCCCTGTCATCCTGGGCCCTTCTGGCCTCCTCCCCACACCCACCTGGTGACTTTTGCTGGCCTCAACTCCTGATACAGGCCTGGGTATGGGTTTGGGGAAGGTCAGGGTGGGCGTGAAGCCCTGGCAGTGTCTTGAGGCCTGAAATGACATTAACTGTCCCCAACCCAGGCTAGCAGCATCTGTCCTGTGGTCCAGCTGCTGGAGGCTTTGTCTGGCCTCTTGCTCACCCCTAACCCAGGTGCAAGGGCTTCCCAGCAGAGAGTTGAAGGATCCTTGCAAGTCCCCTGTCTGTCGTGCTGTGGAGCCCATGAACCAGAACTACACCATACTGGAATTCTGCAGACCCTGCCCTCTCAAGGCACAGCCTGAGGATCTGCTGCAGCCTGCGTCACTGCACAGCCCCACACCTGTGTCACCTATGGGGGCCCACATTCGCCTGACAGTTCTTGTGCACAGAACACTCCCTAGGCTGGCCCTGTCCCTAGAGTGGGCTGGGGGCCCTTCTTTTTCTTTACAGAGTTTCTGGGTCTGGCTTGTGTTTCTCTCTCCTAGTGGACTGCGGATACCACCTTCTGGGCAGGAGCCACAGACGAATTGTTTAATTTTGGTGATTCCATGTGTAAGTCAAATGCTTTGATATTTGCATTTGAAATAGGATTGGATAACATAAATATGAACAGTAAAATCATGTTCATAATTTTAAATGTTAATTTTTCTTCACTGAAAATAGCATGAAATAGCAAATAAAAAAGGGAATGGTTACAGAGACCATAAAAGAAAGGAGAAAGTTTTTCATGTACACGTAGCAGCACTTTTTCCTTGTTTTCTGAACAATGGGCCCACACTTTTGTTAGGCACTGGGTCCCCCCAATTATGTGACCATCCCTGCCATTGCCTCCCAATCCTGTCCCTGTGGGAAGAGGTTTCAGATTTGGCCAGGTGCTACCTATTTATCACCAGGCTAGTTTTTCATAGAAAGCCTACATATTGAACTAATTGCCTTCTCAAAAGAAGTCAGGTAAAAAATAAGGTTCTGGTTGTTTTTTGCTGTAGAACAAATTACCCCAAAGCTTAACAACCTCCAAGAACAGCAGTTATTTCTATTTCTTATGACTGAGGGCTCATTTTCTTCCATGAGGCCATTCTCACTCAGGGTCTGTCATGCTGCAGGCAGTGCCTGGTGACGGCTCCCTCACTCCCATGTCTGGCAATGAGGCTAGATGTTCACTGGGATGTCACTGGGATGGCCATCTACAGCAATTACATATGGCTTCTGCATATGCCCTGAATTCCATAGAAAATGCCGTTGGGATGCTGGAGAGAGAGAGAGCAGAGAGAAAAAGAGAAGAGAGAAAGAGAGACAGAGGGGGAGAGAGAGGGAGAGAAGAAAAGAAGGAGAGAAGAGAGAAAAATAGGAGAGAGAGAGAAGCAGAAATACTATTATCTTTCCGGAGCTGACCTGGCCTGGGAGATCACGTAATGTCACTTCCTTCTCATTCTGTGTGTTAGAAGGATTGACAGGTGGGATACTAACCTGGCAGGGGAGATACCATGATCACGAAGGTGGTTTTCCCAGGGTGAGGCTTCTCCACTGCACTCTGGATGTGCTGACCTCTGCGATTTCCCCAAATGTGGGAAATTTGATTGCTTTATGAGTATTGACAAGTGGGGACTATTGATTAAATGAGCAGATATGAGTCTGTATATTAATACATGGGTCCTAACGTACACCAGCTGAGCCAGAGAGACCTCCTAGTTACAGGTGAAATATTTATCATATGGTTGGTGCTCAGCAAATGATAATTACTCCAGTCACCAGAATTTCTTTTCTAATATTAAGTATAGACCAGGGAACATCTTCACCTTTGCTTTTCCAAAGAGTGCTAATTTGGATATTTGGCTTTAAGTCCTGGCTCCATCCAGCTTCTTCTAGGTAGCTTTTGCTCAAGTCATTTGAGCTCTCTGAATGGCTCTCTACCCCAGTTTGTTGTGCAAATTAATAACAAATAGGTGCAAAATCACTTTGTAAACTATTTGAGATGTATGAATGTGAGCAGGTAAAAAATTGCAGTTCTGTTGGCAAGCTGATGGCAATTATAATTAGTTCTGTAAATTAAGATTTGTTTGTATCGTGAACCATTGATATTTGAATAGAATAATTACCTCCTGCCCCTCCCTCCTCCACTTATTTTGTTGGTTGTTTCTTGGACTAGATTACAGGTACTATCCCCTCCCCTTTACACCTACTATCATTATAATTTTTCTAATCTGCCGCTGTAAGCTCTTTCGTATTTGTGGTTTGGGGAGTGTGGGAGGCAAAGGGGAGGAACAAGGGACGTAATGATCTCATCCTTAAAAACAGGTGAAGAAGGAATCCCAAGCCCAGCCCCAAATCTTCTGGCACCGTCTCTCAATGCAAATCTTGTCTGACTGACACGGGCCCCATAGCCTCCCTTGTCCATCGTATGTTGGCACGCATCACTTTGCATTCAGTTTCATTGTACATGTCTTATCCTGCTGCTCATTAGAGAAGAAACCTAAGCGTTGCAGGTTTTTGTTTCCTTCTACAGTGCATGATCAGATGTCGTGAAGTACACACAATTGGAGTTCAATCTCTTCTCCTCATACATTAATATATATTAACAGTTTTTTTTATTGTATGCCCAGGGTCTCTCAGTGTTTCTTTTTGTGTCGCTTAAGTCCTCTTTGAAGTAGACGCTGGAACCTTTGTTGTTAATGTAGTTGACAATTGCCTATTCTCTTTCTTTTGTCCACTAAGTCCTTCTGGTTGGCATATGAACACAACCATATATGGAGATAATATTTCCACTCTATGTGTAAAGATAATAGAATTTACTATAAAGTTTAATGACAACTGCTTACATAGTACATATTATGTCCGAGGCATTGTACCAGGCCTACACCAATATCATTTTATCTTACTGTGTCCTGCTTTTGTGATGTATCTAAAAAAAATGGCTACACTATTTTTCTTAGAGCATGGTGTTAAAGTGAAATTTCTGTTTTCTCCCAAGGACTTTTAACATGCACTTCCATTGCAAAGAAGATAGATTGTTTCTCCACAAGATTATGTCCTCCCTTGAAATAGAAGCTGTATTCAACTAGATTCTAATTCCCAAAGTGGTTCATGCAGTGCTATTCCCAATATAGATGCTCAATTACTGTTAAAATGATAGTGTGGTCAGTTGTCTTGGCAATGTTTGAAGACTGTGACTCTAAATTCCCTTTGTTTTTCTCTATTTTCCCCTGACCTCTACTTTTAATTTACAAGGGTATCCCTGAATGGACATTGGGAAAATCAGTTCTTCCATTCTTACATATAAAATTATTTTTATTTTTTGCACATACCTCTTTAGACAAATTCCATAGCTTTAAAATTTTTATGTATTTGAAGTAAAATTCAATATTAACTTTTTTTGACTCTCCAGCTTTTGACTTCTTTCTTTGGTGACTTTATACTTCATACTATGTGATATTTCTCATTCTCTTCACTGAATTGACCATTCTAAGAGAAGGAAAAAATATACATAACAAAAGTCACATGGTAAAAAATATATATGTATATATATAAAAAAATTCTGCCCAAAGGTTTGAAAAAAATTCCCTGGCAGAGCAGTTCTGTTCTACTGTTTTCAGAAAAAAAGAGTAAGCTCGCCTTTTTGTATTTTTATTTTTGTAATATAGGAAACTGTTTCTAAGATAACTCAAGAACTATCTATTTCTGTCAAACCTGTCAAAAGTGGTTTGTGAAGTTTCTTGGTACTATTGACTTTTTTTGTGTTTTAAAGTATTTTTTATTGATTATGCTATTACAGTCTTCCAATTTTCCCCCCTTTAGCCTCCCTCCACCTTGCTCCCCTCAGCCTCCAGCATTTCCCACCCCCGCCTTAGTTCATGTCCACGGGTTGTACAGGTAAGTTCTTTGGGTTCTCTGTTTCCTACACCATTTTTATTTCTCCCTGTTTTATGCCTACTAATTATGCTTCTTCTTCCCTGTATCATTTTCTCCCTATCCCTTCCTTCCCACTCCCCACTGGATCCCTCCGTGTCATCTCCATTTCTCTGATTCTTTTCCTGTTCTGGTTGTTTGCTTAGTTTTCGTTTTTGTTGTTTTTCTTTTCTTTTAGGTTCATTTGTTGATAGTTGTTTGTTGTCATTTTACTGTTCATATATTTTATCTTCTTTTTCTTAGATAAATCCCTTCAATGTTTCATATAATAAATCACTTGGGTATTATCAGCTCCTTTAACTTGACCTTATCCAGAAAGCACTTTATCTGCTCTTCCATTTTAAATGAAAGCTTTGCTGGCTAGAGTAATCTTGGGTGTCAGTCCTTGCCTTTCATGACTTCAAATACTTCTTTCCAGCCCCTTCTTGCCTGCAGGGTTTCTTTTGAGAAATCAGCTGATAGTCTAATCAGAACTCCTTTGTAGGTAACTGTCTCCTCTTCTCTGGCTTCTTTTAGGATTCTCTCCTTATCTTTAATTTTATGTAATTTAATGATGTACATTGGTGTGTTCCTCCTTGAGTTCCATTTTTTTAGAATTCGCTGGGCTTCCTGGACTTCCTAGAAGTCTATTTCCTTTGCCAGATTGAGGAAGTTTTCCTTCATTATTTGTTCAAATAAGTTTTCTATCTCTTGCTGTTGTTCTTCTCCTTCTGGTACCCCTATAATTCGGATATTGGAACTTTTCAAGTTGTCCCAGAGGTTCCTAAGTCTCTCTTCATTTTTTTAGATTTT